ATACAAGATTTTCTATTCATCACATGGTATCGGAGCCCTAGCCTCCTCCCCTCTCTTGATAATATTTTGCCCTCTCGTCTCTCGCATGTTCTCTTTCATGCCATATTTCTTGTGCCTCTGCCTAGCTCGGTTTTCTTTTGTCAAATCCCTTTTTTTTTTTCTTTATTTTCCTCCGAATTCTATTGTTTTGTCTTTCTACCATGGATAAATCCGAGGTTCTCAAACCTATTGCTACTACCTTAAACGGCACCAACTATAATCTATGGGTTCAAGGTATAAAAAGTTTTTTAATTGGGTGCTAACTCCGGCGCATTGTAATCGACGACATTGCTAAACCAATTCCAAAAAAGATGAGTCCGTCGCCAAATTTGTCGATCGACTAAACGGTTGAGATAGCAAGAATCACCGGATTATCACCCGGTTTCGCAATACCTCGGTTCCATCCATTCATATCCAGTTTATCGATTATGACACTCGCCAAAGAAATATGGGATTTTTTAGCTAATCGGTACACCACTCGTAGGTCTTGCTCACTATTATCGATTGTGGACTAGCCTCCATAATATTAAACAGGAGCCGAGTCAATCCGTGAATGACTTTCTTGCTCGAGTTCAACCTATTTGGAATCGGTTATCTCGAGCCAAGATAAGTGAAGATCATCTGCGTCTCATTCGGGTTCTTATGGCACTTCGCCCGGAATATGAGGTCGTTAGAGCCTCTTTGTTGCATCGTACTCCTCTACCTACCTTGGATGTTGCCATTCACGGGATTGTTTTTTAGGAAACACGTCTTAATCTGGACAAAACTCCTTTATCTACGGTTGTTCTCTCTACCACTCATTCCAAGCCTTCTTATCGAAATCTAAAACTCTATTCTATAAGCACTCGTCATCAAACCGGTCATGCTTTTGCCAATTGTCCTACTATCGAATGCGAGATATTGTCATGGTTTTGGACATATCTTCGAACATTGTCCTACTCGACCTTCGCAATCGAAAAATGATTCTTTTAAATCTCGAGCTCTCTCAAATTCCGACTCTTCATTTGTTGCTGCTCGTTGCCACCGAGGGTTCTATTGACCTTACTATGAGTGCTATTGAAGCTCTTCTTAAATAGGTTATCTCTTCCAGTTCTTCTTCGGCTATGTCCGTTATCCCGGTAATTCTTCTTGGCTCTTTGACTCGTATGTTGCAATCACATGACCTCGAGTTCGATATCTTATCTTCAAAACAATCGATCACATCTTTACCACCTATACATACTGCTAATGGTACCCAAATGCACATCTCTCACACCGGCCATGCTTCTACCTCCAATTTTAGCCTTCCAAATACTTATTATGTTCCTAATTTGACTTTAAACCTTATCTCATTTGGTCAATTATATGAATAAGGATTAAATGTTTTGTTTTCTTCATTTGGTTATCGAGTTCGGGATGCACGGATGGGCCGGATTCTTGGGACGGGTCACGAGTAGGACGATTATTTAAGCTTTGCTCCTTACATCTTCCTCAAAGATTTATGTCCGTAGCTACCATACACTTCCTCTATTTATTAATGACATCTTCGCCTTGGTCATGCTTTCACTAATAAACTTCGATCTTTAGCTTCTCGTGGCTTGTTAGGATCTACTAAATTTGAGTTTTTTCGTTGTCTTGATTGTCAATTTGGTAAACGACCAACTTTGTCTTTTAATATCAATACTTCTAACTCAAATACTCCTTTTGCACTTATTCATTCCGATATTTGGGGTCGTTCTCCTATTGCCTCAATTAATGGTTATCGTTATTTTGTGTTGTTTATTGATGATTTTTCTCACTTTACTTGGATATACTTTCTAAAGCATCGATCCGAACTCGTCTTCCATTTATATTAAATTTGCCCTTATGATTAAAACTCAATTTTCTCATAGCATTAAGATTCTTTGCACCGAAAATGCCATGGAATACAAAGAATCCTCTTTGCTTCATTTTCTCGATCGACGGGGTAGTGTTATCCAACGCTCTTGCGCTCATACTTCCCAACGGAATGGACGAACAGAGCGCAAACATCGTCATATCCTTGACTCGTACGCACTTTGTTGCTTTCTACTTCTTGTCCCGAAAAATTTTGGGAAGAAGCCGCTCTCACTGCTCGTCTTTGCCATTAATCGCATTCCTACTTTAGTCCTCAATAACCTATCTCCTTATGAAAGACTCTTTGGAAATCTTTCAAATTACTCGCTCCTTAAACCTTTTGGTTATGCATGTTTTGTTCTTCTACAACCACATGAACACACCAAATTGAAACCTCGTGCTCGTTTATGTTGTTTCCTTGGTTATGGCATAGAACATTAAGGGTATAGATGTTGGGATCCTATCTTTTAGCGCCTTCATATTTCTCGACATGTAACATTCGGGAGAATACTATGTTTTCTTCCCTCTCTAAGTTTCATCACTCGTCACTACTCCCTCTCTCTTTTTACCGATCCCGCTATTGAATTATTTCCTAGTTCGGATCTAGATTCTATAACGAGCTCAATGATAATACTCCTACTTCTACGTCTACTCCTATTAAAACTATTTCGAATGTGGCTCCCGCATTTGAATCCACCATTCGTCGAAGCACTCGGGTAAGAGAAACTCTTTCTCATTTATCCGATTATCATTGTTATTCCGCTATTGTACAATTACATAAGCCTCACACTTATCGTGAGGCTAGCACTAAATCTCTTTGGCAACATGCTATGAATGAAGAACTTCAAGCTTTGGAGAAAACTCATACTTGGGACTTAGTTGATCTCCCTCCTAGCAAGACTCCAATTGGATGCAAATGGGTTTTCAAAATCAAAACTCGTTTTGATGGCTCTATTGACCGCTATAAGGCACGATTAGTTGCAAAAGGCTATACTCAAGAATATGGTATAGATTATGAAGAAAATTTTGCTCCTATAGCTCGGTTGACCTCAATGCGTAGTCTATTAGCCATTGCGAATCGTTAAAAATTGGCGACTTCTTCAAATGGATGTTAAAAATGCTTTTCTAAATGGTGACTTACAAGAGGAAGTGTACATGTATCCTTCTCCCGGTTATACTCAACCTCTTCATAAGGTTTGCAAACTTCAATGAGCTTTATATGGGCTAAAACAAGCACCTCGGGCATGGTTTGTAAAATTTAGCTCTACTATTGCTCGGCTTGATTTTTCTTCTAGTCCTCATGACTTTGCCTTATTCATTCGTCATACCGATTGTGGTATTGTGCTTCTTTTACTCTATGTTGATGATATGATTATTACGGACGATAACACTTCTTGCATTTCGAACCGTAACAATACCTTCGTTAGAATTTTGAGATGAAGGATCTTGGCCCTATTAGCTACTTCTTGGGCCTTGAAGTAACTCATAACTCGATGGTTACTATTTATTGCAAGCTAAGTATGCTTCGATTTACTTTCTCGGGCTAGCATCACGGATAGTAAGACCGTATCCACTCCTTTGGAACTTAATGTTAAACTAACTCCATTGGATGGTACCCCTTTAGATGATCCCACATTGTATCGCTAACTTATTAGGAGTCTTGTCTACCTTACTCGTCACTCGACCCGACATTGCCTATGCCGTTCATTTAGTGAGCCAATTCATGAGCTCACCCCGTTCTTCTCACTTTGTTGCTGTACTTTAGATCCTTCGTTATGTCAAGTGGACACTTTTTCATGGCTTACATTTCTCTCGCTCACACTTCTCTAGTCTTATCCGGCTATTCGGATGTTGATTGGGTTGATGACCCCACCGATCGTCGCTCTACTATTAGGTATTATTTTTTTTGGGAGACTCTCTCATCTCTTGGCGAAGCAAAAAGCAAACCGTAATAGCTCACTCTAGTATCGAATCGGAGTATCGTGCTCTTGCCGATGCCACCTCCGAGTTACTATGGCTTCGCCGGTTGTTATCCGATATGCGCATCCACCATTCCTCTCGCCACGATTCTCCATTGTGATAATAGAAGTGCTATTCAAATTGCTCACAATAATGTTTTTCACAAACGCACCAAACATATTGAGATTCATTGCCATTTTGTTCGCCACCATGTCACTCAAGGCACTTCGCATTTGGTATCCGTCTCTTCCGCCAACCGGACAGCTGATATTTTCACCAAGACTCATCTTCCCACTCGCTTCTATGACTTACTAAGCAAACTCAAGTTGGTATCTACACTCCCACCTTGAGTTTGAGGGGGTGTTAACAATATTAGTGGCTATAATATAGGCTATAAAATAGGTTTATGATAACGGGATTTTATGTACAGCCTTTTCCTTTCCTTGTACAGCTTTTGTTTCCTTTCTTTAGACTATCCTATTTTGTATATATATATATATATATATATGTACGGTCGTTGTACTATAATTACACGAAATATACAAGATTTCCTATTCATCACAATATCTAATATTTTTATGATTCTTGATCACTAGAGATTGCAGATTAGCCTAAATGTTACTTTGACCACTCTCCAAAAAGAAATGGATAAATTAATCTCTTGCCTTATGTCTAATTTTATTTTTTATTTTTAATTTAATGGACCCACACATCATTTTTACCGTCATTAACATTTATAATATTCATGCAAAATATTGTCGTTCTTCTATTTCTTGTTATGGTACGTGTTGATATATTCACCATAGGAATCTGCTATAAGATCCTTCTAAAAACAAAAATTTTTGTGTAAAGCCATCAAGAAATATGATTATTAATAATTAATACAAACAAGCAAGGACAGGTAGGCAAGGCCAAAAATATGAATGATGACTCCATGCCAAAATTGCATTCAACGGCATCCTTTCTGCTTTGTGTTAAAACGCGTAAAATACAACCATGTTAAGTTCAACCATTTATGTATATTGTATTAGCATGCACGTATGCAAACTAGTATATACATAACGCCTTCACTTCTTCCCCTCACACTTGACTAAAATATTTCCTATCATTAATTCTCTCTCACTCAAGGCTCCAAATAAATTAATAACATGGACATGTTCTTGCAAGTAAATCCCAAGACAACAAATAAGTTTCCAATCATGGTGAAGAAATCGTGGTCAAGGCAAAAATCCTATAAGCACAAGACCATTTTATGCAAGACGACTAATGAGGTAGCATTTCGAAAAAAGATCAACTTCTATGAAGTTCTTGCTCTTGGATCTCGGAATGTAGGGTTTGATGAGATAAAGAAAGCTTATAGAAGCATGGCTCTACAATACCACCCGGATCTATGTCTTCCATCAGCCAAAGAAGAGTCCACAAAAAGATTTGTTGAGCTTCAAAAGGCTTATGAGACATTGTCCGATCCAATTTCTCGTAGAATGTATGATTATGAGTTGGGTTTGGTTAATTCAAAAGGATTTGCTTTTGAAGGGTTTCCATTGGAGGATAGGAAGAACAGCTTTCCAAGGGAAGTGTGGGAAAGGCAACTGCATGGATTGCATCAACGATCATATGCCCGAATGGAGAGGAGGAACAATAAATATACATGTTAAAAGTTAGATTTTTTTTTCTTTTTATGGTTAATATTAATTATTTTATTCTTCTTGTAACATGTAGATTGTTATCTAATTTAACAATAGATTGAGATGCTATTCGACATTTTTCAATTTCAAAAATTAGTTTAAAAAGTAAAAATTTTCTTATACTTATAATCAAATACTTATTCTCTTTTATAGCTACTTGTAATCCAAACTTGGGGGATTTCTTTAGGAATTATCACTACTTATTAAATGTATTTATATATTCGAAATATTTTTTTTTCCAAAAGTACTGATTTACAGGAAATATTACCCCATATATAGTAAGTGTTTGATTTATGAAAGATGCTAGGCATATAAATTAAGAAACTATATTAATTAAAATTTCGTACAAATACATATATGTGAAAAAATAACTAGTTTGTATCGAAATTCTATATGATTTATGTGTATATATAGCATTGCTTTTGATTCATAGCTTAATTTTTTCTTATTTTATTAAAGAATCATGTAACATGTTATCAAAAGCTTTTTAATGATAGGCGGATGAATTTGGATTCTTTTTATCTCTAATTTGGTTAATTTAGAGGTCTTTTAATATAATTGTGGAAAATTGTTTATTTTTCATAAAATGCCAACAATCGATTGTTAAATATTAAATCCAAACAAAATGGTTTTAAGAAATTGTGATAGTACGGGTTGGTTTTTCTTTTTCTTAAAAAAAAAAACGAAAACAAACACCCGTTTCTAAAAGCTTGAAAAAAAAAATGATACCAATAACGGCTAGAGGAATTCAGTACCTCCATCCAACCCAGCCCAAAGTGGCTCAACGTATATATGATGAGGTAGATGCCCAAATCAATGTATTGGACGCTTAATTATAATGCACAGGTCTCCTGCTTTCTCAGAGCTCCATGTACACCGGCGTGAACCTGTTGAAATGAAATCTACAACTCCGTTGAAAGAATCAATTTTACGCATTAAAATTGGTACTTTTTCTTCGAGCCATGAGAATTTATAGTTCCACATTTCTTGCCGTATAAAATTCAGCAATCGCGGGAAGCAGATATTGTTTGGACCGGAAGAAAAATAAATAAAGAAAGAGTATTTTTTTTAAAGCTTAGATTGGAAGTTTGGAACCTTGTCTGTAAGGTCCCAAAGTTAACCAGTAACTGGGGTTTCTTAGGAGTAAATTATAAATTATTCCTTTTATCCATTTTATATCACTATAAAAAATCCATCAAATAACAATGAAAATTATTGACAGAAGTTTATTCGTCGCTAATCACGAAATAGCAAGTAAATAGAAACAGAATAGCGTTTGTTGGAATCGAGTGATGAATTGCGATGTTTTATTAGCGACGAACAATAATCCATTGCTAAATTTGACGAGTAAAATCTTTCTAAGAGTTTTAGAGACGGTTTAGCAATGAATTTGCTAAAATAAATAGCGACGGAATTACAAAAATCCATCGCTATTTCAAAGTCTCAATTTAGCAATAGAGATTCCGTCACTAATGGATAAAGCCGTAATTTAATGATGAAAAATTCTGTTGCTAAATGTGAAAAATTAGGCAGAATTGGAAGGACTTTTGAAAAGTCAAAGCGCCAAATTTACAACAAATTAGCAACAAACACTCATGTTCGTCATTAAATATCGATGTATCGATAAGGGAATCACGTCTTTCGCTATTTTTCAATTCTTAATTAAACCTCACTCTTCCTCCTCCTCCCTTATTTTCTTCTCCCTCTCCTTATCTAGCTAGCGAGTCGTCGATCTCACCTTACAAAACCACCACCAAACTCCACTCCTCTACTCTCAATCAATCCACAACCATTTTAAAGTCTTTTCTCACAAAAAAACTCTCGTTTTAATTTCCTTTCCTCCTGTTGGTATAATTCCACTTGAATTAGGTAAAAAAAATTTCTCTTTTATTTTTCTTAATTAAAGTTAGTAATTTATTGTAATTCTTAGGTTAATTTTAAATTTAATTGTTTGATTTATAATTATGCATATATTTAATTGTTATTTTCTTGATTTATTTGTTAAATTACTAATTTTTGTTAATTTTTACGTTAATTTATTGATTAATTTGTTAAATTGTTAAAAGTTTTTAATTCTTAGTTTAATTTTTTAATTTAATTGTAATATAAATTTAATCAAAATTGATTTTTAATTAATTAAGTTAATTTTATTTATATTTAGTTAATTAATTAGGTTAGTTATGTTTAATTGGTTGAATTAGAATAAATTTGTTGATTAATTGTTTAGTTTTTCTCAATTAAGTTAATTTAATTTTTATTTTAAATTTAATTTGGATAGAATTAGAATTAATTAAGTTAATTTTATTTATATTTAATTAAGTTAATTTTGTTAATTTTGTTTAATTAGTTGAATTAAAGCTTTATTTATACTAAAAATTGTTAATTTAATTGTTATTTTAAATTTAATTTGGCTAAAATTAGAATTAATTAAGTTAATTTGATTTATAATTAATTAGGTTGTTTTTTAATTAGTTGAATTATAATTTTATTTATATTATAAATTGTTAGTTAATTGTTATTTTAAATTTAATTTGGTTAGAATTAGAATAAATTAAGTTAATTTGATTTATAATTAAAAAATTAATTATGTTTAATTGGTTGAATTAAAATTTTATTTATATTAAAAATTGTTAATTTATTGTTATTTTAAATTTAATTTTGTAAGAATTAGAATTAATTATTTAATTTTATTTATAATTAATTAATTAATTAGGTTAATTATGTTTAATTGGTTGAATTATAACTTCTTTATATTAAAAATTGTTAATTTATTTTTATTTTAAACTTAATTTGGTTAGAATTAAAATTAATTAGTTTAATCATTTTGTATATAATTATTAAACTCGTATCGAGATACATCGTAGTGTATCAAATCCGAGGAATCGGAGACTTCGGGAATTTAGGAGAAATAAGATTGGTTCAATACTCCACGATGGAGCTATGAGGACGAGTTTGTGATTTAATTTCAATGGAGTATCTAAGACAATTGTTGATCTCAATATGTATAAATTGATTGTTGGTTGATATAATTTGTTATTTGTGTGATTATTTGGTGTATCCGTTAATTGAAAAATGTGCAATTTATAGGATAGACTCGCCAAAATTTTATTAGGTGTTTAGAAAAATTATTATTTAAATAATTTTGTATTGTCTCGAAAATGTAAAAACATAATAATTTTTAATATATTTTTAGCTGAATTATTATTCATTTGTTAAATTGTTTCGGGTATTACTCTTGAATTGTGCATCGTGGATTGAGCATATCTTATCGCGCTATCAATGGTCATAGCTTTGATGTTGATTGTATGACTAATAGTAGTGGTGTATATGGACGTGGCATTCGCTAGTGCAAGTGTTTTGGAGCCGCGATCTTGATAGTGGTTTTGGCAAATATGCATCCTCTTTGGAAGTACCCTCGCACCATATTAGTGACAAAATTAATATTATCTCTAATTTATCACTAATTATATAGCATGACGAATTTTTTACATATAGTGATAAAAAAATCCATCACTATTTGTTGAATTTTTTATAGTATATTATATATATATATGAGAAAAGAAAATATTTTTTAAAATAAAATAATATTAATTTAAAGGTAGTCAATACTAGTTACGAAATTAAATAATTAATTTTGAAATAAAAAGAGTAATTAATTCATCTCAAAAGTAAAAGGACTGATTTATAATTTATTTGGTTTCTTAGGGGAAAAAAAATAATGCGGCTGCCTCATGATTTGCCTCCTGCAACAAATATCTTAACATGGCCATCATCATCGTCACAGCCAATCATTATGATTATTGCCTTTTAATATTGGGTGAACTATCATGCTTAAAACAAAGTTAGGGTAAACTATGTACACACAATAATCACTTATTTTTATTTACCAGGCGCAAACTTGACGTTTAGTTTCGCAAGGCACTTTTACATGGCACTTTTTTTTTTTTAAAGTAGAATAATGAAAAAAAAATTATGATGTCGAAATTATTGGAGATTTATCCCACTTGAGAATGTTAAGCTACTAAACATGGAATTGCAGGTGCGCAAAAAGAAGGAAAAAAACGGTTAGCTTTTCCATGTGGATCCCATTGTAGGTTCTATCTAATTATGGCGAAAATAAATAGGAGGAGGAGTCCGTTCATATATTCATTTAATGTAAACTATCATTAAATATTATTATTATTATTATTATTATTACTACTACTTCATTAATTATGGTGGCAGCTTTATCGCATTGAAAAAATGAATCAATTACCAACAAATTTGTTGAACTAATGGTAAAGGAGCTAATTTATAGGCAAATTTTATATCTTGTACAAGGTTTGAATGTTAAATTATGAAAACATTATACTTAATTAATTAGAAGAAAAAATGAGGATGATAGAATTCGAACTCGTAATTGTTTGGTCATCAAGACTCTCATATCATGTCAAAGAATCATTACATCTAAAAACTTAAGCTATTAGGTGAAGCTCCGGGATATGATTTATATTATTCTCTAACACAAGTTTTTGGGTGTAATGATCCTTAGACATGGTATAAGAGCTTAGTTGATCATGTGGTCCCGAGTTCAAATCTCACTATCTCCAATTTCTTAAGTATTAAGCACAAAACAATGTCGACCTATGCAAGTTTCAAGCCCAAATGTTAGGGCTTTCACTTAAGGTAGTGTGTTAGAGACTAATATAAATTATATTCGGAGTCTCGCTTATCGGTTTAAGCTTTTAGATGAGATGGTCATTTGACAAAGGCGGCACTCCTTGCAGGGGCTCGAGAGCATAAGCTGCGAAAAGTCTACGGAATATTATGTCGGATATAAAGGCCCATTAAGCCTTTTTTTTCTTTCTTTACTTATATTTATAATAGTCTCACCATTGTCGAATCATAAAAAATCTTTGTGTTGTATGATTATTTTTATCTTTCTACTTTATTCTTTTATTTGATTCGTTTTCTAACATTGAATTCTAGAA